ATATTTAAAATTCGATATTGACATAAAAAAAACCATACAATTTCAAACCATTCGGCACCATATATACGCTACGACCTTCGAGGCAGTCGAGTTCGAGTAGTGCGAGGTCGCGCGTCCGTAGCCAAGACTACATATTTTGAATCAAAAACTCTCCAAAAATATTCATTAGAAACTCAATTATCTACCCGTTTTCGAAGTGACCAGTGGGATTACATTGTTTATGAAACAGGAGCTCCTGTGAGGCGGCAACACCAGCGCATAGCCCAACCCTGTGCAACTCCAAGGTAGGTGCCTTATCTAATATTGCCTTTGTATGGTTCCGCGATCAAATTTCGACGCGTTTACAGTCCGCGGCTCTCCAGAATAAATTTCCCAACGTTTTAATCATAAACAGCCATCACTAAGTTTTTACGCAAAAAAGTTCACTGGCTCTTAGACCATTAGGACACAGCCAGGATTTCAATCCCATCTAGATTTGTATCACAGCTATCTCTATCTCTTTTTTGCGTGCAGGATTGGAAAGAGACATGTATATTCCGAACTGCTTTTTCAATTTGAGAGATTTGTTCACTCATTGAGCGCAGGCGCAAGATATGGGTCAAAACGCTCGTATTGGTTGGAGAATTTGGCCTCAAAAAATATGGAAAGTTGTACAACTGTATCGGTACGGTATAAACTGTGCCTATACTTCAATAACTCGGTTAAAAGAAATTAGGAGGCCATTTGATCACGACCTGTAGGAAATGGAAGAACTTTTCAACTATTTATCCCGTTTCAATAATTGTTTCTTCAAAATACGCAATGGATAATGGATATGGACAGAATATAACCGCCTTCTTAAGAATATCGTCATAATTACCGCTGGAATGTCAGAAAATACCTACACAATCTTCAATTTCAATTTATTAACAACAAACTTTGAGTCAAATCTGTTTTTTTAATGAAGATAAAAGTCAACATTACATAATATTAGCAATACAATGTAACACAAATTTTTGACTTGGGGTTTTGTTTAAAAAAAAAACACACTTTACAATTTATATGGTATCGATACCTCAGCAAATACTTCTAAAATATCTACTGCCTGAACTACACTTTTCCCACCACAATAAGGCTTGCACTAGAATATTTGCCATTATCCAATAATCGAATACTTGTCAAACCTACAGTTCCATCAAATAATAATAATAGAGTCGGCCGATACCGACATATTTGTTCTGTCTCTCTACTTTATTACAAAGGTTATCCATTCAGGAATTATCGCTTCACAAATTTGACACATCATAATCTATGGATAAATCTTGTTCAAATGGATTTGAGCAGTGGCGGATCCAGGATTTTGTTCAGGGGGGGCGCAGGCTTAGAATCATCAAAAATGATTATTTGAAAATTTATTTTTACTTTACTTACGTTAAAGAATGTAGGTACAGGGTAGTCCAATTTGGACACTTATGTGTCTCGATTTTGACCAATAAGGTGAAACCTTCCTAACTTTTTCATTTATGAAAATAATTGATTTCTGTATAAACTTTCTAGAGGTACTTTTCCAAGCAGAATTGAATGACGTACTCAATTTTTTATATTCGTCTTATTTTTTTAATAAAAAACTCTATACAGGGTGTCCCAGGGAAAACAGTCCACCCCGATTTATTGGATTTGGGATGAGAATCTGGGAAAACGCTCGGACACGTCGATTTTTGATTCGATGGAGATGTATTTTTCAGTTTTTTTCATCCTCGTAGCTTCAACTCCCTAGCTAGGGGGAGAACAACCCTCCAAATTTGAATAGGGGATAGGGGTCGTGTCATGTCTCTTTTTAAAGGACTTTGGAGTTATTTATGACCCTAGAATTTCATCCCATTATTTCCATCCGTAACGACATGACAGCTTGTCAAAATCTTGGAAATAGACTATTGTTTTAGTGGGAGTAAAAGCGATACTTACCTCCCTTAATAAAAATATTTGAAATTGAAGTTTTCTATTATTATTATTGATGAGGTATGTATACACGAGAATTGTAAATTGTAGGTATTTTTACTCGTATTTTTATTAAGGGACGTAAGTACCGCTTTTACTCCTACTGAAACCACAGTAAAACAATAGTCTATTTTTAAGATTTTGACAAGCTGTCATTCCGTTACGGATGAAAATAATAAGACGAAATTCTAAGGCCATGGAGAACTCGATGAGATCTCTAAAAAGAGGTATGGCACGACCCCTAGCCACTATTCAAATTTGGGGGGTTGTCCTCCCCCTAGCTAGGGGGTTGAAGCTACGGGGATGAAACAAACGGAAAAATAGGTCCCCCTTAAATCAAACATCGTCGTGTCCGAGCGTTTTTCCAGATTCTCATCCCAAATCCAATAAATCGGGGTGGACTGTTTTCCCTGGGACACCCTGTATATCAATAACTCATTGATACATAGCTCCATTATTGCTTATTTTAATGATACATATAAGGTTTATTGGGTCTATCTCTATCTATCTCTTTATAGATATAAAGTCCTAAGTCCTCTTTTAACAAATTTTTTCTCATGACAAAATCAAATATCATTTTTTTCTTGAAAATCTGTTAGAGATAAACCTGTCCCATCAAAGCAATCGGACTCTATTTAATATCTCGAATTCGGACAAAAATAGAAAAAAACAGAAAGTCACTGGATTCTCCAGCCACAAAACGATTCAAAATATCATAAAATTAGAGCTAAAGCCTCAGAGTGGGGGTTGCTGTTTGTATCTCGCTCAGAAATTGACGTTTTTTATCAAAAGTGTCCAAATTGGACAACACTGCACATATCAAAAAACCGAAATAAAAATACCCCTTTCAAATAAAAATATAACACATTTATCTGATGAAAACAAAACGATAAATTGAACAATAGTGTAGCTTGGAAAATTCCTACAACATTTTATTGGAAAATTTTTCCATGAAGTTTTTCGGAAAATTCTTTTATAAAATTTTTCTATCTATGATTTTTAAAAAAAAATTTTAGTAGTTTTTGAGGCTTTCAGGTGGGGGCGCGGCCCCCCCCCCCTGGATCCGTCACTGGATTTGAGTAACGATATACAATTAAAGGCACTTCTAGATTACTCCACTACAATAATTTAATGAGTTTCGAAAACGCAGCTAGATATTTTTTCAAAATTTTGTATGGTAGGCCATCATTTACAGGCGTTTCAAATAAACAATATTTCATGCGCACATCTATTTCATACCTGTGTGGTATAAGGAATTGGCCACCCACAGAGGATGCATTTCATCAGCAAAATTAGCATGTGCCTACTATTAAGAAAGAACTGCCTATGAAATAATTGTGCGATTTTAGTAAATCCAGAAATTCCCAACTCAGTTAATTTTGGTTGGGAACTGAAAGATAATAAAATTAACCACAATAAGTAAGAAGTATCTATAGGTACCGATGTAAGATTCAAAAATGGTGCTGCAAATGCAAACTCTAGATATGCACTAGAAACTAAACTGTAGTGTTTAATAGCAGGGCTGGATGGTATAAGAGGTTGCTATTCTGGATGCGGGTATTATTTAAATTAAAATTAAGTAAGTTTTAGTTACCTAATTAGGTTTTATAGAAATGTCTGTCCTCATAGAATAAATAAGTACTGTCGAAGTTGGGCCGCGCTGGGGCCAGGGTGCTGGCAAGGCATCCGTTGAGATCAATGCGGCAGCGGCCGGCGCGCATCGTCGTTTCAATCAAAAATCATATTTCGTAAACCGTTATCACTAGTCAAAATCTCTTTTCACCAAAAACTTCCTCACTCGCTTAGGCACATTTTTCGTCGATTGATCATATGTCCATCTTCAACCGTTCAAAAATTTTCTCGATGCTGCAATTTTTACTTCAGTTTTGGTACCGCACCTCTTTTTAAGTAATCTGACAAATTCAGTATAAAAAAAATAGTTTTTTGCCTATACACTTGAACTCTACAATGACTAGGCTTTCATTTGGTGCAAGAATTTTGGTAAAATATTGAAAAGTAGTTTCACAATCGTAAGTTAAACAGAAAAAATAGTATTTTTCTGATAATTCAAAAAAGTCGGAAAATATTTTTTTATTCTTAATTGCAATTACGAATTAAATGGAGCCCTCCGGATTTGCGTCCGCAAGGTGATTCGCCATATTGTACATACATATTTTTTAAAAAGTATATCCTCGAATGCACAGTACGTGATCGAATTTCGGTGTGCTGATTCCCGACTATAGATATATTCTGTTTTTGCTCTTATAATAAAATGTATTAAGTTATAATATCTTCATTTTTCACAGTTATTAATTTTCACGGTTGGCGATAAAGTTTTGTATGCACCGTGTCAGTAAAGTGTCTTTATCGAACTCGCCCTTTTACTCGCCTCGCTCGCTTCGCTCGCTCGACTCATAATTTCAAACTCGTTCGATAAAGTATCACTTTACTGTCTTGGTACATAAATAACTATTTCCAAAGTTCTAGTGTTATTTTTTTCTGAGATATAGCCGGTTACCTCCTTACGTGGAACACCCGGTACATGCTTTTCTTTTCTTTCCCAACATTCGAGAGAGAATTAAAGGACTATTCACACGCATCAGTGCCGTTTTAGTTCAGTATCAGTGGCAGTGAAAAATGAAATATCGTTGCCTAGTCTCAAATGAACCTGTTTAGACAATTCCGGCGCGGTGACGTTTTTTACCATCAGTGCTGCGTCAGTGTCAGTTCCGTGTTTTTTATTAAAGTCGGCAACGATATTTTGTGTATTTCACTGACGGAAATCGATTGGAATTTGCGTTTGATCTCTGAATTCGGACATTTCACTGAAAGCATGGTACGGACTACAGACGGATATGTGTAAATTGTCACCACTGATGAAGCACGGATAGCCCTGATACTGAACTGACGCAGCACTGATACGGAACTGATGTGTGTGAATAGTCCTTTATCATGTGTCAATACATAACCATCACAGCCGCTTAGCTTTATCACGCACATATTCAGGTATTTTCATCTTTCAGGAATATATCGGAGAGGACGACTCAGACTTATTCCTAGAGGAGCGCGAGATAGCCCTACGGTCCGTAGAAGCCGAAAAACGTCGCGTTCAGCTTTCAGTTCCCGGTATCGTAAATCCACATGAGATGCCAGAAGATATGCAGGAATAACCTATAACGCTAATTATTACCAAAAGAAACTTGTATTATAGATGAATGAGTTACCAAAACTTTGATCTGTGTTGAATGGGTAATAATATATACAGTGTTCCACAAGTAAGGAGACGATCAATTATCGTACGTGATATATTAAAAAGTTAACGAGAATCATCCCCGAAGATTTGTTGCCCTAGAAAATGCTTGAGGGTTTGCCGAAACACGATCTTTAGGGCAACAAATCTGAAATAATGAATTTATGATTATCCTACTCCGAACTGTATTTAGCTATAATAACCTAAGCGTCGATTTTAATTAAGTCTTTACCGTCGGTAATACATTATTTTTTCAACATCTACAAACTGAATGTTTTTGTAATAATAAAATATGTATGTATTATTAAATTTGTTTGACATATTAATATGTTAATTACATATTACCTAACTCTCCCTGTGACGTGGATCTTTACAAAGCAATTTATTCTGAAGCTAATATCACATAAAAACAAACATAACATAAATACGATTACTGAAGTCGGCTTTTTTTTGAATAACATATTCAGGCCTATGATGTACCTTGTATGGGCTGATGTATACTATGACTCGTCGACCATTGACTTGAAATTTCACTTTTCTTTTATCCCATAGGGTACTTGCATGAAAAATTGAATTTATTGTTTATTGCAAACTGTAGGAAATTGAAAAAAAATCTTTACGTATTATTTTATTTCGCACAAATATGATTATTCCGGAAGTAATACAAATATTAGGTTTTGTATGCATAGATATACTGAGCATGTGCGACGTCACTAATTTATATGATAAGTGACGTCATAGGCATATTTCATAGCGTTGTATCCCCGTCAATTTTTGACTAAGAAGAAAAAGAAAAAACACGTGTTGACTTATTTTTATCGTCTACCGAAATCAGCGATAAAAAGAGTTGATGCAAGTACCCCATGAGTCCATATTCCGTGAGTAAATTTTACCTTCGAAAATGGCAACCATTGATTTTTGGGGATACTAGAAAATATTTGGGATAAAACATTAAGGTGGGGATACAGCGTACAACTGTTAACTTTTACAATGCGTGGAATTACTCCCTGCGGTTTTGCGATACAGCCCAGAGTTTCCAGAAAAGCGATACAATGTTTTTATTTTTGTGCATTTATTGCTGTTTTTGGTAAATTTTTACAAATTAACTGCTAGAAAATTATTGCTTTCGTGCAAATAAATTTTTTCGCTCAACAAACTTTCAGCTCAATATTTTCGGAACCAGACCAAATATCGACCTCCGGTTTTCACGGGTTGACAGATTGACTTTTTGTGAAAAAAATTGTCATAGGGTAACCAGAGGTCGATCCTTTGGCTCCAATATCTAAGTTAGGCGAAATTTTCCTTTTGCTCGAAAGCAATTGTCTAGCAGGTTAGATTAAAAATTGTGTCAAAAATGAATTACTTGATGCATCGCCCAATTTATTTAATAATTTTTAAAATTTGATCCCCTAGATAAACTACGCCCCTGAGCTGCTCCTATGGAGTATTTTTTAGGATACTCAGGATGCCAAAGAATATTATAAAAAATTGCAATTTAAACAAAAAAGTCCCATACTTTACAATTTTCTTAATATTAGCGAATTTAACAAAATTTTGCTTCAAAATTGGAAACTTGGCCGCCATTTGAGTATACTCCGCCCCTGAGCTGCTCCATAGGGGTATTTTTTTGGGTACTGCTACTGCTGGCAAAATCTCTCAATTTGATCTATTCAAGGTGCCTACCAAGTTTTATGCTTTTAGCACAATTTGCAGGGTTTTTTTGTTAACCGCTAGGACTAGTACTAATATTTTAGATTTCAATTCAGATCTTTGGACTTTCAAAATTAAATTTCTAGTATCATTATCCAAATACCAAATAACAACTGGAACTAGTAAAGAGTAGCACTAGGAATAAGGAATAACAAAAAAGTGTATTGCTTCACCCAAATTCTTACTTTATTTGAATGATGCGCGGAATCGGAATTCACTTCTCTCGCTAACACGGTTGCGAAAGTTGCGAGACTCGAGAGCGTCGCCCATAGTCACAAGAGCTTGGTGGAACCCCCCAAGGATAATACACACTAATACTACAGGATAGCCTATCCTCATAAGGCCTGTGTGGAACAAATCTGAAGCCCCCCACCACGCCAAATCACCAGTTGTGACGCAGGCAGCATGTCGTTTTTCTCCTTTACGTAGGCTGTTTGCACTACAGGTTATGATTACGCGGGCTTTTGCTTTATGCATACTTGGTTTTACCACATAATTTAACATTCTAAAACAACTCTTTTTTAGATATCGTTTTCATCTTCCTCTTTGCCTATTATCCGTGCGTTCGGTATTTTGATCTGAGTCCTCCGAGCATAAATTTACCGTTCGTTTATTTAAAAAGTGTACTCGGAGTAGGCTCATTCACGTTCGTTTATTAAAATGTCGAGTCACTCAAGTGAATGTCGCACTCGCCTCCAACTCGTGCGCCAATATTCACATTCGTGAAAAAAGGTTCTCTTTACACACTTGTTGCATAAATAACTATTTTTCAAAGTGCGGGAAATACCATTTTTCTACGACTATTAGAGAATTCGTCCATTCCGACTTAGTTTTTGATTACGGAATAGCTTCATTCCATCACTAGTGAAAGAATATTTATTCCATCACTTGTTATGGAATGAGTGGGTACCTGAGGCGAAATGGGCCACTTTCACATGCCGGGAATATGGCAAATTCTGATATTTTTTGACGCAGATACATCAATGCAACCGAGAATGAACAAAATTTTGTAAGATTTTAGTCAGATTATTGAATAAATTAATAAATAAAAATTAAATATTTAAACAAAAAATCACGTGATTGAAAACGCCCTCTGAATGGCTAAAGCCGATTTTGACGTGCTTGTTGCCATATTTAGAAATGCGAAATTTAAATGAGTTTTCCTACGACTGCCTCTGAAAATGGAGTTTTTTGCACGCTAGGCAACCTCTGAAATTAGAGTTTTTCGCACAGCGTGCGAAAAAGTTTTTTACATGCATTTTAGCGTGCGAAAAAGTTTTTCACACGCTCCTCAGCGTGCGAAAAAGTTTTTCATACGCTTCAAGTTTTCTAACAAATGAAAATTACATATTTGGTTGTTTTATTTTGCAGTTGTAGAAAAAGCATTGTAGAAAACTCGTTTGATAGTTATTTATTATACAAGACGGTAAAAATATGCTTTACCTGTGAGTGGAAAATGTTGTTTCACGAGCGACGAAGGAGCGAGTGGATTAATTTCACGAACAGGTAAAGCTTTTTTACTGTCATGTGTAATATTCTATTTTATTCTTGGGCAACGTTTTATTTATCACAATTACTAAAATCATAAACTAAAATGTGCTAAAGTTTTACATAGATTATGACAAGTTGATAGAGTACCTAACAAACTGACACATTTCTGGTGTTGTCAATCATGCAACATAACAAATTTCTGTCAAAAACACTATAAATCGGGCCTTTGATGTATCCTGTCCTGTTATTTTAACGGCCGTGTTACGGCTCAACATCTATTTCTGTCTCCATTTTGACGTATAGAATAAACAGTGACAGATAACTTAACGTTGCTGCATCATAAAAAATTTGAACAAGTGGGTAAAATTGACGTATGAGTGGGTAAAATTGACGTGTGAGTGGGTAAAATTGACAAATGAGTGGGTAAAAATTGTTCGATTTAACTACTTCAAATAAAGTGTTACTTTAACAACGAATTTTGAGTCGATTAAATGATAGTTTACCCTTCGCGATAGAATAAAAACCTTTTTTCACACTTGCTCGACTTGTGGAACTCGCCTACGGCTCGGTCCAACAAAAGTCGTTTTCAAAACTTGTTTAAATAACTATTATAACGATTATTCCACTCATGTGTTAGAAATCCCATAAGACAAGTGACAATTTTCAAAATTACACCGAAAATTCTTTTGTCCATTACCATTAGTTTAACTAGAGAGAATTACAGCGAGAATTTCATACATCTGTCAAAACTGATATTCCAACAATAAACTGACATCTTTTAATTGTTGATTTGAACCAATCAGATTGGAATTACGCGATAATTTGCACTTGTGCAAATTATCAGATAATTGCATACTAAGTCGTGCAAAAACTGGTATTTTGACATTTTTTGACAAAAAATTAAAATTTTTGATTTATGAAATTCTCTCATTAAATACAACTCGTGCAATGGAAATATATTTATAATTTCCATTGCACTCGTTATATTACTATTGAGAATTTCATACATCTGTCGAAACTGGTATTCCAACAATAAATTGACATGTTTTGATTGTTGATTTGAACCAATCAGATTGTAATTACGCGATAATTTGCACTAGTGCAAATTATCAGATAATTGCATACTAACTCGTGCAAAAACTGGTATTTTGACATTTTTTGACAAAAAATTTAAATTTTTGATTTATGAAATTCTCTCATTAAATACAACTCGTGCAATGGAAATATATTTATAATTTTCGACAAATTTGCACTCATGCGTTTTTAACTGAAAAAGGCACTCGTGCACTACGTGCACTCGTGCTCTTTTTCAACTAAAAATGCATTCGAGCAAATTTCCCAAAAATTATCAATAATTTCCATTGCACTAGTTATATTACTATTGATAATTCTCCCATGTTATTGTATTCATGGTTGTCATGCTAATTTTTGATACAAACAAACAGTTGCTGTTAGGAACCATTTATTTGTCTTGATTGTTAAGTTGTTCAAATTGTTTTTAAATATTAATTTGCATATTTTCCAGATTTTAATTCGAGAAATAATCCTCTTAACACTCGAACTTGAAAATGGACCAGATAATTTTTCACTCATTCATATTTTCTTTGCAAATTTCACTCGTCCTACGGACTCGTGACTCGTGAAATTATAGAAAACACATAATCGTGAAAAATTATCGGTAATTTGAAGCTCTCGTGGTATTATCGTATTATCCCCGATTATACCTATCCTTTATTTTTTTATAATGTAGTAAAGGAGGAAAATGGTTTCTAGCTAGTGAAATGTGTGATGATTTACTAATGAGAAATTTGGCATCTTCGCATTTTTGTTGATTTTCTCGTTTGTGACGTCACAAACCAGTTTCGCGTTTTCACGCCAGTTTAAAAGTTCGATTTTTGAATTTTTTTTTCAAAAATAAGCTTTTTTTTCGGAAAAAAATTATACAGATAGTATTAGAATGACTAAAAGAATAATTTAAATATGTTTTTAAAAAATGTGAAAGTGGCCCATTCTGTAACGGATAGAGATTCTCATTGATAAGGCTATGGCACTTGCTCGACTTGCTGTCTTCTGCTCTCTTTTCGAAATTAATAGAGAGGGGACGTCAACAGA